ACCTGCCATCTCTTCCATATATCCTATCTCAGACTTTTCCTTCTCATTGTAGTGGGGAGTCTTTTAATTTTAGTCTTTAGTGATTTAATCTCTTAATATGCATCATCTTTGTTTCTAAACCTTTCCATTGACAGTGCTTTGAGTTCCCCCTTTCCTTTTTATTTGCCTTTGAATATGAAAAATATGATCTACGGATAACACAAAAGGGGAACTTATTGGAAGAAACATTGGAACTTTCTCTTAAAACGCCTCCATTTGTGGTTTAGTATTGATATTAAATGGTATCATAAATTGTTTCTTTTCTTGCCCACACAGAGTCTTCAATAAAAGAAAAGGTCACTGAACCTATATGTATTTGTCAGAGAAATACCATGCATTACATTCAGGACCCAGGCAGAGGGGTGATTATTCTTTCAGCAGTTTAAGCCTGTACCTGTTGCCTGCATTTTAAGTGGCTGCTGGAGAACAAGGCACCACAAATTGATTAAATATTAATTGTGACATAGAGAATTTCTGTCTTATATTGTTTAGCTGCATTGATCCATAACCTGCATTTAAACAGTGTGATGTAACTGCTTCAATATGATGAAGGAGGTATACAGGCAGCATGCTGTGTGAAGTTCATCTACAGCTGCGTGGAAGAGTATAATTCTGCCTTTAAGTGCACCTTGGGAAATTGCTCTGTGTTAGTTCTGCAAACAAATGAGAATTTCCATAGGGAAGGATCCATCTTAGTGGACTCCTTGTGGGCAAAGCTCTGATTGCCTTAACAGAAGGATCTTATTTTGATAAAGAGTGTGGGTCAGTGCAAGGCACCCACAATAAGCAATATGTAGACTGTCTTAGCAGATGTCCAGGGCACCCTAAGATGCCTGTTTTGTTTAAGCTATTTCTCTCCTTAGCTAGTTTAATCAGTAAAGAATATTAACCAGGTTTGTACTGTATTTATAAATCTCCACAGTTCTCTTTGATGCTGAACATGCCACAGGGGAAGTCATGTACTAAAGGAGACACCCACTATTAGGTCAGTTTAGGATGATGATAAAACCTTAGGAAGGCATAAAAGATGCAGTATCACAATGGTATAGTTTATAGCCCCATGTAACAAGTGACAGGACAAGAGGAAGCAGTCATCAGCTGTGCCAGGGAAGGTTTAGACTGGAAGTTAGGAGGAATTTCTTCCCCAAAGGGTGGTCAAGCATTGGAACATGCTGCCCAGGGATGCCCAGTCCAGACTCTACCATCCCTGGAAGTGTTCAAAATCCATGTGGATGAGGCCCTTAGTGATATGGTTTAGTAGTAACCTTGGCAGGTTGGACTTGATGGTCTTGAAGGTCTTTCCCAACGTGGTTGATTCTGTTATTTGATGATTCTATATCTTTGCTACCTCAGTAACGTGATGGGGTTGGGTTGCAGTGCTTTCAGGTTGAGTGCAGTTGGGCTTCCTTAGGATATTGTGCCTCACTGTGCTCGTGGGCTGACCCAGAGCGGTGCCACAATCTCCCTCTCCTTCTGTAACAAAAAGTGCTGCAGCCTGCAAGGGGCTTGTGCCAGACACATTTTTCCTTTTATTTAAGGAATTCTACAAGAGCTCAGTTATTGCAGTGAAAGGGCATGAGACACATACAAGGATTTCCTCTGTACTGCATCACAGGCAGGTCACGTTAGGCAGTCTGGATCCATATGGATGGATGACTTACTCCTCCACCTCTATGCAGCAGCCATGCCAGCAGGCTGCAGGTGTGAAACTCTCTATCCACCCATTGCTAAGGCATCGTGCCCAGGCTCTATGAGGGTGTTTTGGATTAGTTTTTAACATGTACTTTTCAGAAGTTGTCAAAGTGCATATTTAAACTACAGCAATCGTTGCTAATCAGGTTACTATAGATTTTAATGCATGTTAATACAGTTTTCCCTGCAAGTGCAATAAAAATTACTCCTAATTTGATTTTACCATCAAAAAAAGCTTTCCTGTGCTTTGGTTTTATTCTGTATGTTTTTAATCACTTCCCATTTCAAAGTGCATAATTTTGTGTTAATATACTACTGGAGAACTCTTTTTGTCCTAAAAAACATTGTCCTGTGTCCTAATTAACATATTGGTTGTGTTAATACAGCAAGTGAAACACTTTGGTATTTCCACCACTGGAGATTTAAGACATTTCCCCAGTTTTAGCACGCTTCATGCTTTGAAAATATTAACCTCAAGCTGTTTTCCCCATGTTATTTTCTGCCCTGAGGCAGTTCACGTGAGGAAGGGAGTCTGCATTTTGTGAATTTTAAAATGCTTTCTGAAGATTTGGATTTGAATTTCTGAGACGTTTTCTAACAAGAACTCTGGAGAGGGTCCTTTTACAAGGGCAGGCAGTGACAGGACAAGGGTGATGGCTTTAAACTGACAGAGGGGAGATTTAGATTAGATATTAGGCAGAAGTTCTTCCCTGTGAGGGTGCTGAGGCACTGGCACAGGGTGCCCAGAGAAGCTGTGGCTGCCCCATCCCTGGCAGTGTTCAAGGCCAGGTTGGACACAGGGGCTTGGAGCAAGCTGCTCCAGTGGAAGGGGTCCCTGCATGTGGCAGGGGGTTGGAATTGGATGAGCTTTGAGGTCCCTTCCAACACAAACCAGTCTGGGATTCTAAGACAAATAACAGTGTATGTGTGTGTGTGTAAATGTTTCATACATGTCAATCTTTCTGATTTCATATTTTTATTTTTCTGATTTCACATCAATAATGACACAGGCAAAGGGCATAATATAGCTATGGGAAAGAAGTGCAGAAAATCAATGCTTACTTGACAGGATCAGCTTTGGATGTGAAGTTCTGGCCCTTCAGCCGTACGAAACCTAGCTCCCTCATTGACTGAGGTACCACCCATTCTGCAGCCATAGCTCCCTTACCTTGATCATCTCACCAAGCCTCTTGTTCCCACTATTCCACTGCTTTACTTCCATCCTTTTTCCACTTGGGTAAGCTACTCTCTTCACTTTCATAGTTGAAGTCTTAAAAGCCTGCCCCATTACCTTGTTTGTCATTTGCATTGTTGGAATCTCACATTTATCCTCTCACTTTCTGCCTTTATAATCAGCTCACTCTCCTAAAACTGGCAACAAAACCCTTAGGTACTTTCCCCCCAAGCTAGTTTATTTGAAGTCTCTTTGCAATTGTCAGCATCTGAAGCCAAGAACCTAGGTCTTTGGAGGGGGGTAATGCCCTCATTTTCCTAGGGCATAGCACTCCCATTTGGTGGTACTGTTATGATGGTGGTTGTCATGCTGGGAGATCATCAGGCACCTTGGACAGGCTATCTGAAGGTGATGAGGAAAGCTGGGTTCTTAGCTATGTGGAGATTATGTTAGCAGTCTTCCATGGGGGTTTAGAGCAGCTGAACATGGCAGCAGGAACACCAAAAAAGCTGCAGAGATGCTGTGGTGGTTCTGTTCTGTTTGCTCCACTTGGGTGTAGTGCAGAGGAGAGCACAACTGAGCTGTTGCAGGTTAAGAGAGGGACAGAGAAGTCTCCAAGGTGACAAGAAAATTGCTGTTCTTCCTTCCTGCATAGGAAGAGTGTGGTTTAGACAGGGTCTGACCTTGTGAGCTGTTCACAGTGGCTGTATAAGCAAGGGGTACAGCAGTCAGGACTTTGAGACTAGAGCCCAATTATCATGTGTATGTGTAATATTTAGCCAAAGTATCCTATATTTCTCACAACATCATATTTTCCATTGGAAAGGGAGCTAGTGTTCATCAGCAGTTTTATCCTGCTTTGTGCTTATTAACCTTTTCCCTCTATTACTCTACTGTTCATCACTGAAACATTCTTGCAGTCATCAGTAACTGGCTGTTCATGGCTCCTCACTCTAGTGGTCATTATTTTTTAATAGTATTAATATAAAGTTAATGTTTTATTGATTCATCAGCAGCTGGTTAAAAGTGATTCACTTCCACTATTTAAACAGCATTTCCCAAACTTGCTGTGTTTGAATACAGTGTTGAATAGCTGCAAGCAAATTCTTTGCATGTATTTCTCTGTGTTTAAAAACTGCTCAGTCACAGCAGCCTGCTCCTCTAAAAGAGCTATTTCATTTCCATTACCTAATTACAAAGAGCCGTAAATAGTCAAAGTGCTCCACAGACATATATGGGGATTGGACTGTGAGCCAAGGCAAGGATGCTCCAAATTAGACATGGCCCAGCAAGAAACGGCTACAAATAGACTGGGTTCTTCTTTGTGTGTATTATATAGCACTCACTGCAAAGGTGTGCGAGTATTTCATATACCTTTGGTTTGGTTTTTAGAAGCAGATTTCATCAGAGGCCGTGGCAGGAGGTGATGAGATCTAGGGGGAGCAGGAGAACATGCCCCTTCCCACCCCCTGTGCTGTGTCTCTCTCTTTTGCAAGATGCTTGTTCTCCACTGTATCCCCTCGGCCCCACTGTCACCTTAAGCATTGGTGGGCTCTCTGGGGAGTGGAAGTGTGAACAATGGGGTGCCAGCTGAGCTCCAGGGACAAGGGATAGGTATTTACACAGAGGGTTATTGCAGATTCAATAGTCAGGGCACACAGGACTTGCCTTTTTAATAGCTTGATGTTGTATTTTGTGTAAATAAAGCTCTGTCCAGCTGGTCAGTCAGCTTCGTTCAGTTCTTCTTGTAGATGGCCTCCAGTTCTCAACTGTCTTGGCTGATCTTGACACATGGAGCTGATGGTTGTTTTGTCATCATGTAGGGCAAATATTTTTTTGTTGACCATTAAGAAACCCTCAGGGTTTTTTTGAATCACAGAATGGTTTGGGTTGGAAAGGACCTTAATATCATCCAGTTCCAACCCCCCCTGCCATGGGCAGGGACACCTCACACTAAACCATGTCACCCAAGGCTCTGTCCAACCTGGTCTTGAACATTGCCAGGGATGGAGCATTCACAACCTCCCTGGACAGCCCATTCCAGTGCCTTACCACCCTCACAGTAAAGAACTTCCTCCTTATATCCAGTGTAAACTTCCCCTGTTTAAGTTTAAACCTGTTACCCCTTGTCCTGTCACTACAGTCCCTAATGAAGAGTCCCTCTCAAGCATTCTTCTAAATGGCTCTTTCAAATGGCTTGTTGGCTGCCTAGTTGTAATCTGTGACAGTTAATACTCCATTTAATAACTAAAATCCCACTTTCTGGGTTACGATTCTCACAGGTCAGTGATGATACTGAAGGCATTACTAAAGCTTTGTTGTAATCTCAGCTGGTACAGATGAAACACAGCTTCTGATTTAAAATAAATGAACAGGTGTCTTGTTCTCCCCTTTTCTTATCACCTCTCCTTTGTTTCAATTAAACCGGTTGTTGTCATCCCATGGGAATAAATGATTTGTAGTGTGTCATATAAAGACAGAAGCTTTTTGTGACGAACCTGTTGGTTTTTGTTTTAACCCCCATCTGCCATTCTCTTTGTTCTCTTTGAAACAAAACAAAACAAATAAAGAAAAGAAGAAAACTTAGGAGCAAAGTTTGACAGGAAGATCCTCGTCTGGCTCCTGTCTTCCCCACTGTGGGGGTCTCTTTCCATATCTCCTCCACAGAAGCAAATCTTTAATTCACACGAAGCAAACAGCTTTGGGTTAAAAAAATGAATTAGGCTCTATGGTTTTTGGAGTTTTCCCTGTACTTTATATTTCGTTACCTGTCACTGTTCTTCCATAAATCTGGAGTTCCATTTCATGTTTTCTTTTTGTAGTAGTGAAATAGTGAAATTTGTGTTTTGAATGTGATATGGAGGGGAAGCCAGATGGGTTTGGCTGGGATCTTCCTAGCTCTGCATGCTTCAGAAATTACAGTTTGCAGGGTCAGGGTGCACCAAGGGATGGGGAAAAGCTGGGACCCTGGGGGCACTGGGTACCTTCATGGGGCTTGGCCAGGGTCAGGCTGGGTTGTCAGCTCCTAACTGGGCTGGAGACCGGCATCCACAGCATCACTGGGGCAGGGATCGATGTTCCCAGGCTGGGCACAAATGGGCCTGTGGTCCATAGGGAAAGAATACTGAGGTATTCAGTTAAATACCCAGCTTCACTTCAGCTCTACTGAAAAGCTCATCAAATAAATGAAATAAAAAGTCTTGGCAGAACAGGATAGACATTTTATTGAATATGGGCCTGAGAGATTAATTCAGTCTTCCCAGGAGCTAAGAGCATGAGAATATCAGCAAATAAAACTGTGGTTTGGGATCCAAATTGGATAATGAAGTTGCTCCCATATTGGCTTGTCTTAATTGAACCAAATAGTTCACCTAGTTTGCTTCCCATAATACAGAATATGTAGTCTGCTTTCCATTCTGTTCTATTGTTCGAGCCTCTTCATTTTCCTTTGTTCTTGAGGTGGTTATAGGAGAAAAGGCTCTCATCAGTGGTTTTATTCCAGATGCCGAGTTACTGGTCAGAAGTCTTTGCAGTCAGTGGGAGGTCCAGCTTTCAGTGCTGCAACCTCAGCCTAATCAGGGAGAGCCCGTTAACATGCAATCGCTGTGTTTCAGTGCAGGGTAATGAGCATATCTTTGTCACTGACTACTGGGTATGAAACAACAAGTATTGCACAGAAACATCTATGATGAACTAATCCTTCCTTCAGCTGGTTTTCATCTGTTTTCCTTCTAACAATTTTTTCCCCCAACCTCCTAAGCAAAATATATTGAGAAGCACTTTAACACTTCTTCCCCTCCCACAGTGCCCACTTCTGCTGTAGCACTCTGAAAACAAGTCATTCCTGGAGGTCTTTTTTTGACTGCAAAGCAAAAAGGAAAATCTGCCCACTTTAAAATAGATACAACACTTCTGCTGTACCATCCATAGGCTAGGCTAATGGCAAGCAAGAAATGGAACCTGTTCAGCCCAACTTGCTCATCTACACGATCATCCCTTCTCACTGTTCCCTGGAGAAGATTCCTGTATAGATCTGCCCCTTACATACTACCTTGCTAAAGGCAGGAAGATTACTAGGAGGAGACTGTGAATTAAGAGCAGCATTGTCTTTGTGTGCAGCTTAGAAGGACACAGGTAAATATGAAGTGCTTCAAACAGATTTCCCTACTTTTCTGTTAGCCCATATGGAATAGCTTAGAAATAGCAGCATAAGCTGCAAATTAAAGACATTTAAAAGGATGCTAGTTTAGAAATGGTAGTGTATACTATGTGTAAGACTGAATTAGCCTTACTTTTTAGACCGGTATTTGTGGATTATGTTTTAATGGCTCAATCCTACAAGCTACCGAGCAAATCTGGTTTTATCCACTTATGGGCAGGCTTTGCTTTATAGCATGTGCATGGGCTCCAGGAGAATAGGGCTGTTTGCACACTCACATATAAGCTTCTATGGAGGTGGGGTTTTGAGCTACTTATGGCCTGAACATTGAGCTGTGGAGCTGAAATGATTTAGTTATTTACCTCTTGCACGGCTCCCTTTCTCCTGCCCAAAGGGAAGCTGAGCCTCCTCACTGGGTATAGGGACATCTAATGTGATGTTGAGGTTAAAGTTAAGCAGTGAGGCTTGAGTAGCATTTTTTTTCTAGTACTTCCTAGAATATTTCTATTAGTTATGTGCACAGAAGTCCCAGGATCAAGTGGATAAGAGCTGGAGCTCTCACAAGTGCCTTTATGTGCATGTATTTTACAGGGCCTGCTTTATTTTCTTGGGATGTCTTATGGTTCTGGAGGCATCACTTAAGTCTCTCTGCTGCCTGGAGCTTAGTGGCTGTGGATGGGTACTGTCCTTGCCTGGACATTGAGGTTTGTTGTGCTCTCTGTCTAGTCTGTCCCTCCCACTGCTTTGGGCTCACAGGCAGCCAGTCATTTCACACCTACATGGGGTACCACATTGAGACCAGACTCAGAACCTGTTTTCTGTGGGGTCTTGATGCCATTTTGTAATGTCTGAGCTTACAGTATCAACTGAATGATTTGATTCATTTACTTGAAGCTCAAGAAAGGTCAGGAGTTAACCCTTCCTTTGTGGAGGCCGTGGTCCTGCGTACATGTTCAGGTATGTTTTCTGTCATCTTTGCAAGTTCGTGACACTTTTATGAACAATAAAATACTGAGCCCCCACCATGATGAGGTTTCTGGGAAGGGAAAGGTGCAGGAGCAAGACTGCAAGACACAGGAGGAAGCCAAGTGTGGGCAGTGAAGCTGTTTCAGGTGCTAATCCTCAAGCTCTTGTACCTCTGGAGCTGTTGAATACCTTTGCTTTGGCAGGAGGCTCAGTAGAAGCAATTATTGGAGAATAAAATATCATCAGCTTAAGAGAGGGTGGGCTGGTTGGACTCAATGCCCCCATTTGTAGCTGGCAATTGGTAAACACATCGTATTACAGAAATAAATAGAAAAAAGAGCTAAATCTGAAATGAAACACTGCCTTTTTTTCCTTGCACCAAGCCCCTCCTATGGTACTCATCATCCTGCCAGGGTGGCATTCAGCACAACTCCCTTCCAGGCAAGCCCTGGGCCAGCACAGCCTCCCCCAGCAAGCGTGATCCCCTGGGGCTGCATGATACATTCCTCCCCTGCAAAACCTGGGGCTCTATTTTGGCACAAGAATGTGAAAGTGGCAACCCAGGGGGAAGAAGGATTCCAATTCAAACTTCCCACACGGGGATACAGAGACTTACCACTGAGTCACCAACGCTGCTTAAGAACATCATTATAATATTTGCAGAAAACAACATTCTTACCTGATAAAAGCTGAAAATTGTTCAGGTCAGATAAAATTCAGTTCCTCGTTTAAAGTGCCCATTTTCAGTCTTCTTTTTTTCTCACTGAATTGAAGAGACAAATTGTGTCGCCAGTAAAAAGGGTTTCAGCCAGAAGATAGAACTCAGATGGAAGATCCTTTTTTGGGTCAGGTTATATTCTAGCTTCAGATGCTTGTGCAGAATGGGAGCAAAAGGGTCTGTTTAACCAGAGAATGCTTAGTGCACATGGTCTTTTGAGGAGGAAATATACTACAGACAGTGTTTTACTTGCATCTAAGATAGAGAAGTGGCAGCGTATATTCTACCTCATCCTAGTATCACTGAATGAACTTCATATGAATCCAAAGGAAACATCCATATGCTTAATATCATTGTCCCAGAAGTTCTTACTCAGGGTTTGATTTATTTAATACAGTGGGTTTGTGTTTTGCTGTAAAAGACAAAGGACAAAAATTGAGCATCATGAAGCAATCAAATGTTTTTCAGTAGTTTTATTGTGCTATAATATCTGGGGTGGTGATGATTGATAATAGTAGATCTGTACTTACAAATACTCCGTGGGTGTTTTGGGAATGAACCAATAGACCAGCTCACTCTGTGCCATCTAACAGGGGACATTCACGAGGTAAAAAAAGCAAGACAATTCAGTTTCATTCATGCATTCAATGTGTACATGACTAAGGGTCATCAGATACAGATATAGAATCACAGAATGGTTTGGGTTGGAAAAGACCTTAAAGCTTATCCAGTTCCATCCCCCTGCGCCAGGCAGGGACATCTTCCACTGGACCAGGTTGCTCCAAGCCCCATCAATGTCTAATCTGAACCTGGGACATTCTGTCATTAGTGCTTGAGGACTGACTGTTGATTAACTACTAATTATTGTGTTGAGCAGCATGTGGGCCTCTTGATGCAACCAGAACTGTTGAACTTGAGGATGAAACACAGTTGAACACGGGCATCACTTCCAATAAATGCGGTGTGTGTGGCATTTGGTGCTGCTGCGGTGCGTTAGGACTGTCTATACAGAAAATGGTCAAATATGTTGCTGAAATACAATCAAAATTAGGATAATAAGTACTTCTGCAGTAATTAAAGGCTATACATAAATGTTCACAGGACTGATACTTTATCTTTTTCCTAATTCATGAATATGCCTATTTATTTTTCAGGCACATACCTCTGAGTGTTACAATACACAACACAGGAATTACGCCCTGGTGCAGACAATTTTGATGCAGCTTTATATCTTTGCGTTGTTGGCATAAATCTGGGTCACCATGCAAAGAAAAGCAAGCAAGAAAAGAGAAGGCGGGGGGAGATAATGTCAAGGAATATTTTTAGTGA